CGCGTTCACGCCACCTCAGAATACGGAAACCACAGAATCTACGGAGAGACAGCAACATGACCGCAATGATGCACCAAAAAGCGCACAAAAGTCCTTCCTGAAAGGCTCGAAGCCAACTCTTCCGCCAAATGTAGAGCTCCGTGGGCCCACAAAAGAAGACATGCCGTCTTTCAAGAAACTCAACAGTCTGCTCCTGCCGATCCCCTACCCGGACAGCTTCTACAAGGAGATCCTCGCGGACCCTGTGGACCGGAGCATCACCCTCATGGCTCTATGGCACGACTCACCATCCGACATTGGAAAAGTCAAGGGCCGACTGATCGGCGCTATCAGATGTCGTCTTTTCGCACATCCACCTGGAGACTCTGCTTCGAAAGCAAGGATTGATGGGCCGATGCTTTACCTCTCTACTCTGGTCTTGCTGTCCCCATACAGGGGCTACGGAATTGCTGCGCACATGCTCGACAATTTGATTCGCAGTGCCGTGGATGACTACGAAATCACCAGCGTTGGAGCGCATGTGTGGGAAGCGAACGAGGAAGGCTTGGAGTGGTATCGCAAGCGAGGATTCAAGGTGGTCAACCAAGAAGCGGGCTACTATCGACGTCTGAACCCACCCGATGCCGTCGTGATGTTGAGGGATGTTGGGGTGATGGATCTCGCTGGAAAGTGAGAGGCTACCAACCCGGAAGTCGAAGGTTGCAGTGCTGAACCCCTCCGGACATGCTATGAATTCTTTCTGGGGATGATGGTGAGGATTTGATCGAATTTGAACATGAGGTAAGATCCGAAACTATTTTTATTGCATTTTGATCCCATGCCCTCCCATCATCAACGTCCCGGACCTCACTGGTCGCTATCTCAATCGATATAACCCGGTCCGACCACTGCCAACTGGTAAGTGTCATTCACGCAAAACCAAACAAGGAATGCTCGCACGCACTGACTTCGCGTGATGACGGCCTTATCTACCGAACCCGTACCATGGCTCCTCGCTCGGCTTTTGGCTCAGCCAACGATCCATGCTATACGTGCTCTTGTATGCCTCTTCATTCAGCGCCTTCGAGCTGGTTTCAGACACGGACCGCGTTTTGCCGTCTTCCACCTTCATCGACGACGAACGGGACGCCGATCGTGGCGCAGAAGTTTGGGGAACTTGCTTCGAAGAGCATGTCTTCGAGTCTTGGTGTTGGTTGTTCATGATGAAGGGCGATGCTGGTATATCGACGATGCTTATGTCTACTTGTCTCGTCAGATTGAGCATTCGATGCGGCGCAATGCTTTGCTGTGGTGCGTTCCATACGTGTGTTTTGACCGAGCTGGTTGGGGTCGAGAGTGACTGTATTTGCACTCGCTTTCAGAAGCACGCAGCAGTCTCATCTATAGTCGTCGACGCTGAGGCATTCCACTGCTGGAAACGCTGATGAGGCATGGGCGAGAGGCATGGGCGAGAGGCATGGGCGAGAGGCATGGACGCGAGGCATGGGCAAGAGGCATGGACGCGAGGCATGGACATCAGGATACGTGGCATTGCTCTAAAGACACGGTGATGCCGCATAGACAACACTCATGGCGGCCCAGAGAGATTGTACGCGTTCCAAAACGGTAAGACACTTCCGACGTACCATCATGGACGACCCGAGGAAGAGACGAGCACAATCGTATGAAAGAGCAATGCGGGTTCGAATTGTCGACCGAGCTTTGTCGTACGCCAGACACATCAGCTGACTTCGTTGACAGACCCGATTGGAGAGTTCAGCTGGGTTTGGTTGATACGCAATATCATGCCAAGATGAATGAACTTCCGTCGCCAGAAATCCTTATTACACTTCGCCAGCCCATTACTCCGACGAGGCATGGCAGTACGTGTGAGGCATGCCACGTCAAGGCTATCGCACTTTGGAGGCATACCTCATACGTGGTGACGTTAGCTGAGCTGTGTAAGCTTCGATTGGTCTCGCTTAAAACAACGGTATGCCTCCATCCTTCAGCCCCAGCTTGAGGCATACCTGCATCTATCCTTGGCAAGCTGGTAGCCTCGTATCGTAGTGAATAGAAGTTCCCATCTCCCACCTTCGGAGGCTTTGGTTGTTCCTCACCCTCTCCCCCTTCGGGGGACCCACTTGGCTCCCTATTTGTTTCGTCACCGTCCGTACGAGCACAATACGTCGACTTACTGAGGGAAAGACAGACACCGTCTTTCCCTCCCACACCACTCGCTGCTACAGCCCGCACAAGCGACTGTACTTC